CATGTCATCAAGCCAATCTCACGCGAATTCCGTTGAAGACCTTCTTCGTCTTTTTGATTCTTCAGACATTACCATTCCAAAATCCACGCACACTCCAATCCAATCTCAACAAACCGAAATTTGCAGTTCTCAGACGACACAATCTCAGAAAAAAACTCTTTCCATAGACACTTCCAACATCCCCAAAATCCCAGAAAAGCGGAAGAGGAAATCGAGTAGTACTCAATCAATACCTCAAATGAAAACCTCAACGTCGTCATTTCAATATCACCCGAAGTCGGAACAACTTAGTGAGATTCCCGAATGTGAGATTGTTGATTTTTTAAGTAAATTTGATAATTGTTCCACATCACAAAATGTGACTGTTAATACCTTGAAAACGGCATTAGTCCTCCACGTCACAAGAAACGGCATTTATTCATTTTATACAAGAAAAGACGACACCATTGAACTTGTGAAAATCAAGAAAGACGACTTCCCACACATTTTCCAAAGCCAAAAAGCAGTGATAATTCACAATTTGCAAAATTCACTCAAAGTGACGAGGAATGGAGTTGACGAGGTGTTAGAATACTTCTCTCATAACAGATTTGTCTTTGATACGTTTATTGGAGCCGCCGTATTAGACCCGGGGAGTATCGATGAGTTAACTTTCAATCAAATCTGCGTGAAACACGAGTGTGTCATTGTGGACGACAATACACAAAGTGTGCTCTTAAGAATACGAGACTTGGCGATGAAGGAATTCTGCGAGATGGAGAGCCACCAGATGACAAAAGTGTTTTTCGAGCAGGAGACGATGATCTCTGGCATATTAATACAACTCAATATGCAAACGAAGTTTCGCCTTGATCTGGAGCTCTTGTTCAATCAGCGGAGACTCTTGTTGATGAGAAAGGAAGAACTTGGGGTTGAGAGTCGCAAAGTGTTAAATAAAACGATTAATCTTGCGTCGGCTGCACAGGTGAAGCGCGAGTTGAATAAATTGGGGTTCCAAACGGACGGAACCAAGTTGAAGGGAACGACGTCGAAGAACGTGTTGGAACAGATCGACCACCCCTTTGCTAAAATAGTGTTGGAACACAGAAAGGTGGGGAAGATCTTATCTGACATCGACTCATTGAAAGGCTGTGGAGTGAAAATAGGGGATGAGATGTACATCACCGCGACGTGGAATCAAACGAAGGTTGTAACTGGAAGGATACAATCAATTCACCCCAATTTGCAACAAATCAATAAACTGAGTTTTGTGATGCCAAAGGTAGAGTTGAAGGCGAGAGACTTGTTCATCTCGGAGAAGGGGAAAACACTTGCTGCATTGGACTATAACCAAATTGAGTTGAGGATACTCGCGGACTTCACTGGAGATGAACACTTGGTCGAGTTTTTTAAAAGCGGTGTTGATGTCCATCGAATGATCGCAAGCCACTGGCTGAAGAAGAAGCCCGAAACAGTCACTGACGAAGAAAGAAGAAGAGCAAAGACGATTGTGTATGGATGCATTTATGGCATAGGGCCGTATTCGTTGGCGGACGAACTGAAAGTGACTGTTGACGAGTCGAAGAACTTTCTGAAAAGCTTCTTGGAGCAATTTCCAAGCTTCGAGGCGTGGAAAAAAGAGACTATAAAAAAGGCAAGGGAAGTTGGGTTTGTGTATACATTGAATAATAGGAGAAGAAGAATCTTCAATTTGAATTCGAAAGATGTCAAATTGGTTGCTGAGGCCGAGAGAATGGCTGTAAACTCCCCGATCCAAGGAAGTGCTGCGGACATTATCAAAATGTGTATGATCAAAGTGTTTCACAAAACGTTTGAGGAATGGAAGGGTGTCACCCTTCTTTTAAACATTCATGACGAAATTGTTGTTGAAATTCCAGATGAGATGTTAAAAGAAGTGTGTGTGGGGTTGAAGAACATAATGGAGCACGTTGTTGAGATGAAGGTGCCGCTGATCGTTTCCGTTGAGACGGGGAAGAAGTGGGGCTCTTTGACGACGTTTGAGTTTGACAAGTGAGTGTTTTTTTTGTTAATTTGTGTTGTTGGGAATATGCACGTTAATTTTTATATGATAATAAAAACAAACTAAAAAGTGAGCGAAAAAGAGAAAAACGAAGTAAGCAAAAGATGCTAAATCCGACGAAACAACACGGAGATGTAGTTATGAGCGACCAATACTTCCAAATGCCAGACTTTATCGGACAACAACCTCCGACACATAGCGATAACAAACCGTGGCACTTTGACACCGAATTTCGGCAAACGAATTGGGTGAATTTGATTCAATTTTTGGAAACACTACGATTTGACGAATACTGCGCCGAGCGGTCAAAACAAGAGAATTATAAAACGAACATTCGCACATTGTCTGTGATCAAAGAACAGTTACCAACGAATAAAGAGTATGCTTTGATGGCAGAAATGTTGGCGAGGAGAGTGCTGCCAAATTATAAAGTAAAGGAGAGTCGGCTTGAAGAATCGTTGACAAAAATGTTCTCAATACTGGGGATTGCGTTTAACTCGAAATATCTGATGCACACGTCTGCTCCACATTGTTGGTCTTTTATGTTGAGTGGTTTGGTGTATTTAAAGGAGCTCGGAGATAGCATTGAGACGAACGAGGATGGGATGTTCGAGTCGACACCAGACGAACAGATCGAAAACGAACTAAATTCTTGCGTTATAAGTTCCGTCGTTCTGCATAAGGACAATCTCCAAAAGTCTCAAAAACTTGAGGAGATGATTTCTGGAAAGAAAAAGGAGATTGAGAAGAGAGATGTTGAAGTTAACAAACAGCTGGAGATGGTCAGTTTAAAACTCTCACAACTTCAACATGTCGAGGGACAAGTCGATTATCTGAAGGAGCAGAAGAAAATGTTAGACCAGAGTTTGAAAGAAGTTTCAGGTGAGCTTACATTGATCCAAGTAAATTGTCAAGAAAAAAAGGAGGAGCTTGGAAAACGTGGGTTGGAACTCAAAACACAGCAAACCACTTTAAAAGACAAAACCGAACAATGTGAGAAGTTGAGATTGACAATTGGCGAAACGGCGCGTTTAGAAACAGTAGAAGAAGAGCTTTATCGGAGGACAGTTTGTTTTTCTATTTAATTATTGTTTTATATCTAATATAGTTATATTGTATTTATTATAACTATATTATATACAATATAAATATATTATATATATAATTTAAATATAATAGATATAATTTAAATATAATAGATCCAATTTAAATATAATAGATCCAATTTAATTAACATGTAGGAAGATTGGAAAGAAGCTGTTAAGAAAACGACTGAATTGTCGTTGCAGTTAAAGGAGACCAAAGAAGCTTTATCGCAAGAAATTAAAGAAGTCAAGAACTTAGTGAATGGCCTAGAGAAGGAACTATCCCCTGAATTGAGGAAGCGATTGATCTTGTTTGATTGTGAAGATCCGAATACATGTTCTGATGGATTAAAGAAATATCAAGAGATAGGGAAGATCATTAAAGAAGAGTTTGAGGAGAAGGAGAATGCTCAGATGAAGTTGATTGACGAGCTTGACAAACAACTTCAAGAGGTGGAAACAAAGACAAAAGCTGTTCAGAGAGATATAGAGAAGAATACGAATGAGTGGAATGAATATATTAAAAGGAAGGAGAAAGCGGATAATGACATATTGAGAACAAACGCAAGTGTTGGAGCTTTGGATAGAGCTGGGTTACAAGCAAAGGTTTCTGAATTGAACAAGAAAGATATGTTTTTCAAAGAACTGATGACAAGTGAACTGGAATGGCGAACTAAAGCAGAGAAGTGTTCACAACGGCTTGAATTTTTTAAACAATTCACCCACGAAAAGAATATCGAAATCATGGCAAAGTTCGAACAATTCTTGAACGAATACCAAAAACAACTGACTGACTTCGACTTGTTGATGCAAAACGCTAAAAGAATCACTAGAGACTCGTTCGAACAAATTGGCGTCCACCTCTCGACTTATCTCCCTAAAACAAATTGAATGGATCGTTGAGTTATTTCTATAGTATCAGGTATTATAATTAATAGTATATAATACATATATTATAATTAATAGTATATAATACTATTAATTATAATAGGTATGATACGATACTAGAAAGATACTAAAGAAATAGAACTTGAAAGTAATATAATTAGCAGCATCCATTTTTTGAGGGTTCTTGAGGCTTTTCTTGGGGAGTGGTAGACTCAAGAGAAATAGTTGCAATTGGAGGTTGAGAGGAAGTATCCTTTTTAATTGCTTTCATGACACGATTTGCTACATTGATGAAAGCTTCTTCGACATGCATGCCTGTCTTTGCACTTGTTTCATAATAAGGGATATCATTGTTTCGAGAAGACCAATCTTTCAGCTGTTGTGCTGTAACGACACGAGTGTTTGCATCTTCGTCAACTTTGTTGGCTAATACGACAAATGGAAATTCAGATGGGTTGGATGGACACGCACCTTTGATGAATTCGGCTTTCCAGGTGTCTAAACTCTCAAACGACTTTTCGTTGGTCACGTCGCACACAAGAAAACAACACTCACTCCCTCGGTAAAATGCTTGCCCAAAACTCATGAACTTTTCATGGCCAGCAGTATCCCCTGTCTTATTAGTTCATTTTAATTAAATATATTAATAAGAACAAACACACTTGCAAAGCTACTTGGTCGCCATTAACGTCAAGCTATTGTTTAGCACACATACTAATATTTGATAATATTTACTAATATATATTAATTTATATTGAATTGATTTCATAAAGCAACAAACCTCTTAACATCAGTTTTTGTTATTTAAAATGTTATTAAAACATTGTTCATCAGCCAGTTTTATTATCTCAAATAAAAACAAACCACGTGTCAAAAAATCTGCACCTATTGTCGCTTTGTATTCAGAGACAAAGGCTTTATTTATGAACTGATTCATCAAACATGACTTCCCAACACCAGAATCACCAATTAATATCATTTTTATTAAAGGGCGCTTGTTCTTCGAGCTCATCACTTTGAAATTATAGTTTTGGAATAGAATTCGTTTTTTTAAACACAATTAATAAAAACTCGATACAAAAAAGTTAACAAATGCTATAATCGGTTTATTTTTTTTATTATGGTAATATATAATTTATTATTTATAGATTTTAACTATTTTTTTCTTTTTACAAAATTATAATTTTAAAAGTGAATTAAAACTCATTTTTGAGCAATAATAATAACAAAAATTATTTATCTCAAATAATTCGGTTTTTCAAAAAAGATCGATAATAATAATTTTTTTAATGTTATTATTTTGAGTTCGTAATAAAATATTTAATTGTAATATTTATATAAATTTTAGTTATGTTATTATTTATTATCGATATTATAATTTAGTAATTTAAAAATTCTAAGTAATATTTTCTTTAGAAAAAAATGAGAAACTATTGAATTAATAATCATAATAACAATTTATTGATATGAAATACTTTTTTATTTTTTCAAAAAAACGAAAAAGCATAAAAAACTGAACTTTATTTTCTAAATACAAAAAATCGTTTATTATTTGTTAATTATATTTATATAGTAAAATTATTATTATTTTTATTATTAAAAAAGTGATTGTTTTTTGATTTTTATGAAATTGCATTTTTCATTTACAATTATTTATTAAAAATATATTATTTTGAAACTATTATTTAATAAATAAAATACCAAATTATAATAATGATAAACAAAACAATACAAATTTACAATAATAATTAACATAATAAGATTCAATTTCAAGATTTCCCAAAAAGTGACATTCATGGACGACAAAAAGCAAGCTTTAATGTTAGAGGAAATTTCTTTTCGACAACGTTTCATGGATCTCCATGAGAAGTTGGGGGTTGATCTATTAATAGCTATAACGGAACAAGTTTCACAACTTCCCGCAGATCGGCAAAAATTAGTTTTTGGGATCATTATGAGTTATAACAGAGAATTCCAAGACGATTTGTCTTCGTTAAAAAACTTTTCACTTTCCCTAGCAACTTTGCCTGTGGAGGTGGTGTATCGCATTTGGAGGTTTTTAGAAAGTCCAAAGTCTCGTTAATTTTATTATATTATTTACTACCACTTTTTATTATTGAATTATAATAATATTATCACCCATTTTACAATAAAAATATACTAGAATTGAGTAATATAAGAAACCATAAAATTAAATTGCATGTGATTTAGCAAATTCGATCAAGTTTTCTGATGTTCTCTGCTTGTCGAAACGAGCTACAAACGTCCCACTTTTATAAAAGTTCACTGTTGGGTATCCGGTGATTTTATAAAAGCCACAAATGTCTCTATACTGGGAGCAGTCCAACTCCGCAACTACGTATTCTACTTCTGTAGTTTTGACTGAAAATTCCTTATAAGCAGGGGCAAAGTTTCTGCAATGTGGACAATATGGTGAAAAGAATTTGACAATGACGAATTTATTGTCTTTTAAAAATGATTCATGATTCTCTTTAGTCAACGAAACAAGACCGCGTTTATCTCCTAAAGTAATAGTAATTAGTACCAAAACTATTAAAGCTCTCATTTGCTTTTGAAAGTTCATACTTGAATAAATAATATTTATCATTTTCGTCATTTTTCGGGAATTTTCCCAATTTGTTACCCTAATCCAATTATTAGTTTTGTTATTATTTACTTGATTTCTGTATTGTTCAAAAGTAATTAAATATAATAGTAAAATAAATTATCTTTTACTAAATTATAATATGAACTATATTTTATTATTAAAACAATCGTATGACATCAGAGATTAAAACTATACTTTACTGATAAAATAAGCTATACTATATTAATAATAAAATCCCACTGACATTTTGATAGAACCCTAAGATTGAATTACAAAAAAGACTTGATGTCTGAAGCCGTTGCGCCCATCCAAGCCGCCGCACCAGTTGAAATTCCAGTTGCAGCACCAGTTGAAGCCGCGCCCGTCGCAAAAGGCTTTTCCCCCCGTTTATTCAACAAGTGGAATTATGACGAAGTTCACGTTCCCGATATGTCATTGGTTGACTTAATGGCGATCAACACGAAGTCAAAGTACAAAGTCTTTTTGCCCCACACTGCTGGCAGATATGCTGTTAGACCATTCAGAAAAGTCCAATGCCCAATTGTTGAGAGACTTGTCTGCTGCTTGATGCAACATGGAAGAAACTCCGGAAAGAAGTTATTGGCTATGAGAGTCGTTGAAGAGGCATTCGATATCATCCACTTGCTCACTGAACAGAACCCAATCCAAGTCTTGGTTGAGGCCATTTGCAACGCTTCCCCATGCGAAGATTCGACTCGTGTCGGTACCGGTGGAAACGCTAAGAGACAAGCCGTCGATGTCTCCCCAATGAGAAGAGTCAACCAAGCCCTCTATTTGATGACTATGGGCTGCAGAACTGCTGCTTTCAGAAACTCTAAGACACTCGCTGAATGTTTGGCTGATGAGTTGGTCAATGCTTCCAAGAAAAACACCGCCTCGTTCGCTATGAAGAAGAAAGAAGATATGGAGCGTGTCGCTAAGTCGAACAGATGAGTTAATTGGTTGTCGTGTGGTATAGTTTAGTTATTAATTTCATTTCTAATTCAAACCAATAACATTTTTTTTCAAAAATGTTATTAGATTTTAAAGGAAAGTGGAGAATTAGTTTAGTAAGTCATGAGGAAGCACCGAGAAGAGGACGTCAAGAGGTTGAAGGCGGAGATGGTCTTTAAAAGTCCGACTGATGTAATTTTTAAAGTGATAAAGCATGTGTATACCATAAGTCAAGCTCAGCAAGTGTGTATTACAACAGACAAAGAAATGACGTCTTTGAAGTTTTTCTTTGAAGGAGTGATTTTGGAGGAGTCCACCCTGCAAACTTCAATTTTTGAAGAAGGAGGAATACTCGAAGTGATGACATCAATCAGCAGAGTCAAATTATATGTGAAGACTTCAAAGAACCTCTTTGAAGTGGTTTATATAGTTTGTTTTTAATTATTTTACTATAAATTGTAATGAATAGAATGGGAAATGGATATTTGGAGAATTGTCAAATTACTCGATCAATGGTCTTCTAATCTCAGTTGATCACCTTTTTGAAAATATGAAAGAAAGAGATGGAAATTTACACGACATTGTAAAAACACTAATTGGGTTTCACTTGTATCACTGTTTAACTTCCATCACACTCCAAACTGAAATGGAAAGTCTCCTCACTCTTTTGAAGTCATCGTCAACAAAAGAGTCTTTCGATCGTGTATTTCATGTCAATACAAAGACTTTTTCTTCGATCGACAAATATTCTGGTTGTGATATATTCGGGTTATACAGTCCAGACTGTATAATTAAAGAGTCGCAAGACCAAATTCTATTTTTAGAAAATGACGTGGCATTTTGGAGTGAAGAGTTGTTCGAAGTTGTGAATAAAGCGCTTTGTCGGTTGTATAAAGTGCAGATGACAAAACAAATTTTCCCACCCTTTTTACTTCTTGTAAAAACACCCGAAAAATACTCTGAAAATGAGCCGATATGGAATCAAAAAGATTTCATCGTGTGGGTTAAAAAGGTTCTTGAATATTCACTTTTCCCAGAGAAAGTGATAAATTGTGGGTCTTTAGTTCCAGATATAGTTCATTATACTATACCTAACTACAATTTCAAATCAAGTCCCCCATCACCAAAGAAAAGGCGGGTCTTTGCCATTTCCGACGTTTTGTTAGGAAAACCGCACGTCATTGACGGGAAAAAGCCTAATAAAAAATATGACATGAAGTCCAAATATTCAACATTAAAAAAGAAAAGTGAAGAAGAGAGTGTTGTATCACATCTCACGTTTTTACCTTACTCAAAAGATTTTGTACATAATAATGAATTGATCAGAAATTTTGTTATTCCCAAAAATGTTATTCAAAAGGGGGACTTAAAGCAATTGTATGTTGTGGGCCAATTCGACAATAAGTTTATCATCTGTTTCAACACCACATCTAAAGTGCTCTACGCCTTCGATCAACATGCAATCCATGAGCGGATCTTGTATGAGAATAACAGTGATGCTGTCGACTTGAACAAGGAAACTGTATTCCACTCCGTTCAATCAAAAAGTGTATTGTATCTTTCTCTCTCGCAAACTTCAGTCCTTGAAAAGTATCGTAAAGAGTTCAATGAGATTGGATTGGTATATGACATTGACGATACAGTGGTAAGGTTCTCTGCACTTCCCTCTTTATTTGGACGGAGTTTGACTCTGAAAGAATTGCTTGACATGTTAAACCAAATAGCTTCAGAAAAGTACTTTTCAAGGCTTTTGCAGTTACGAGTGATTAAACATATTGTCGCTTCATACTCGTGTCGCCGCGCAATAATGTTCAACGACAGTCTAACTCGGACTCAATGTGTCGAATTAATAGATCAACTCAGTACTTGTCAAAACCCATTCATATGTGCTCATGGTAGAAACAGTGTGTATCCCGTCTTTGCATTCAATTAATTTCTTTTAATAATAATTTAATAATAATTTAATAATAATTTAATAATAATTTAATAATAATTTAATAATAATTTAATAATAATTTAATAATAATTTAATAATAATTTAATAATAGATATTATTATATTATAATACAATTCATATGTATTAGTATTAATAGTAAAACAAAAATATAAAATATAATACATTATTTGTTAATAATGAATAGAAAGAAAAGAACTATAAATGGAGAAATGAGCGAGTATGCTTCAATAGCCGAGTTGAAGTTGTCGAAAACTCCTACTGAATTAAACGATGGGTTAGATCCAGAAGTTGAGAACCAATATTACCAAGGCAAGTCTATGACCTCTGATGGGACATATGTTGGGACGTATGCTATATTTATTTTTGTAGCACTCTTGACGGGTTCTATAGTCTTTTATGTTTGGCAAGTCTTTCCTCGTGTTCTTGCGAAGTACGTAGGCCTCGACACCTTTTTCAATTTTCTTCCGGACCAATACTGGGCTTTAGCTGTCTCTTCGATCTTTGTGAGTGGATTTTGGTGTATAGTGTTTTGTCAATTGGGGGTGATGAAGTTCTTTGAAGTCGGCGCAACAGACTACAGAATGTACACAGACTCAAAACGGACTGAAATCACAGACAACAGTAAACTGAATTACACTGTCGAAGAGAACGCCATCCCTCCTATCGAAGACTGTGAGATCAACAGACTCGCCGAAATGGTTTACTCGTGACTTATGGAATGTGATTGATTTTGTTATATATAACATTTTTTGTAGTTTTATTAATTAAATAACAATATTAATTTATAATAATTTATTATTTTAATAATGAATTAACAACTTTAATTAATAATAATAAATTCTAGTAATAATAATTATAATTAATAAGTAAATTAGTAACTCGTATAAATCATAAATCCACAAATATAGTTATAATAATAGTAAAAAGAACTATAAAGAGTTAAACAAAGCGGATAGGGTTTTGAAGAAGAACTTGAACGGGAATAGTTGTGGGATATGCCGAAGTTGTTGAAGAAGACCGAGCACGTCGAAATTCCGTCCAACGTTGAATTAACGATCAAACAAAAGGAAGTGACGGTGAAAGGCCCACGTGGTGAATTAAAGAAGAAATTCAACCACCCGAAAATCGATGTGTACAAGAGCAAGGCGTCGTTGAAGAGAGACACCCCAGTTGTCGATGTAGTCGTCGTTGATATGTGGTATGCCACCAAAAGAGACGCTGCTGTAGTCAGAACTGTTGCCACTTTGATTCAGAATATGATCATTGGTGTCACCAAGGGTTACAGATATAAGATGAGAGTCGTATATGCCCACTTCCCAGTCAATCTTGTCATTGCTGATGACAAGAAGTCGATCATCGTCCAAAACTTCGTTGGTGAAAAGAGAGCCAGAAACGTCCATATGTACGAAGGCGTCACTATCGAAAAGCTCGGAAAGGACGAAATCTGCTTGGAAGGAAATGATGTCCAAGCCGTCTCACAATCCGCTGCTAACCTCCACCAGGCTAACCAAGTCAAGAATAAAGATATCAGACAGTTCCTTGATGGTATCTACGTATCTGAAAAATGTCTCATCGACGCTTAACTTTGAGGATTCTTATTGTTCTTATTCATTAGTAATACACATGTATAATTATAATATATTATAATCTTCTTATAATATTATTATAAGAAGATTTATAATAAATACATTCTATTTCATTATAGAATTATTATAATTTTAATAAGTCTTATAGTTGTAAATGGATTAAAACCATTTGTATAGTATTATTCTACTATAAATAGAAGAACTAATATTATAGATTATTATTATTATTTAAATAGTAGATCTTGATGATAGAATTAATGATAATACATATTATAATTAATGAAGCTGCTTCGAAATGGTATAATCAACACACTTCATCCGAACAGATGAACAAACTAAATTGATTTGAATGGAGTCTGTATCTAATGAAAGTAACGACTTTTCATCAGCTCGTATACTAAAGACATTGTCATATTGCTGAAATATGATCTTCTTCCCGACAGCTTCTAATCGTGGCTGGAAACAATTCCAGGGTACTTCACTTGATAAATTGAACATCACTTCATTTGGAGTAATGTAAGTCAAATACTCTTTGAACAACTCATTGTGCTTCATAGGAGTTATCACCGAACATCTAAACGTCGGTTGTAACATGAAGATGCACCAACACGCTAAACAACAGAATGAAAACGACACGATGAAGAAATTGAAGAACGACGTTTGCAGTAACTGACTGCCTCCCCACAAGAATAACATCACTGAAATATATACCCCTAAATACAATTGTAACACAGACCCTATCAACACACTTGCAGAAACACTCACAAGTAACAAATTGAGTAACACAAAGTTCAACACAATTGCTACACTCGAGAAACTCCCATTTGGAGAGAATTGGTGCGACATCCAAAAGCATATCGCCGCCAAGACAAAGAAGATCCACAAAAAGGGAAACCTCCCCGTCACCGCAAAATACACCGAAAAGAGCGACAACACAATTGCCGATGGGACGACATACAAATCTGGCCCAAGTGATATCTCCGTCACATTCTTCTCTTCACACTCAAACTGTTTAATCCTTTCGGCAAGCTCTTTGACTTCCTTAAACACCTTTTCGAGGCCATTTGTTCGTTGGATTCGTTGTAAGTTGGATGAAAGGTCTTTCAAAGATTCGACGATGAAGGGCAAGAGAGCAAGGGGGTCGATAGATAAGTAGCCGTCACTGTCTTCATGGACCGCATCGGGTAATACCTCTCGTAACTCTTGCGCAATAAACCCAAATTGCACTTTGGAAGTGTTGTTTGCGTATTTGAAGGACTTTCCTGTTAAGCTGCAAAGTGTTTCTAAAGCGTCGGAGATCGGGCGAATGTCCGTCTTACTCTTCCGGTCGGACCGCTGAAGAAAGCCATTTTCCGCAAAAATTTCACCATAGACGTGGAGACGTTTGACGCTCTCTGTGATCGAGTATATTCGTATAAAGTCGGTACAGTGCGTTATAAGTTGGTCGGATAATTTGGGACCAATTATGGAAACAGTGTACGACGATAACATGTTTGGGTCGGATACTATTTGTTGTTGTATCACATCTTGTTGTTGTTGTGGATAGAACAAATTCTGAAAAGTCTCTTGTCGTTGTCTTATTTGTCCAAAATCAAGAGTGTCGATTTCATTCTGCGTCTGCATGTCATTCTGGGATTGTTGAGGAATATTAAAATCGTTTTTTCCCATCGTCTCGATGCAGCTTTGGTTCATGCAATTAGCCGGTTGTAGTTGTGTATTGTCTACAGCGCGTTTCACGAGATTTTCATTTTTCGAAGTGAGCACATCAGACAAATCGTATGGTTTTCTCTTTCTTGAAGTTTCTGCGTCTTTTACAAAAAAGATATAAGGCAAACACAAATCTCGTGCTCTCTCTTTATCACTCTCTTTTAAATCTTTGTATGACTCAGTGATATTATTTATATTTCTTAAATGAATATTCCATACATGTGAAATACAATTGTATTTTGTCTTCAATCCTTCAGAACACCCGGGAAAAACACATTTGTATTCCTTAAATCGTATCCTCTTGTCACTTGTGGTACTTTCCTCCATCTTTTCTTTTTGTAATCTTGACAGAAGATGTCTTTTCAAAGTTTCAGTCTTATATTTCTTTGAATTATGATTGGCTGTTTTTTACATTTTATTTATTTTCAGCATTTCAATACTATAAATTAATTATTAAAATAGTATTATGTATAATTCATCAAAAACTAAAAATAAAACAGAACATTTTTTGTTTCTTATTTTACGTTGCAAATTCCTATTTTTTCAGGACACAATTACATAATTGTTAAATAGTTAATTACATATTATTTTTTTATTGAATATAATAATTAATAATTAATAATATTAAATATAATATATTTCTGATAGAATAATTATATTTAAAAAAACATTTCAATTAAAATGTTATATAAAACATTTCAATACCATTTTCCAACTTAAAAAAAGAGAACAGAAACTTTAACTCAAATATATATATCTGATGTTTCCGAGCCCAGTCCCACTCTTTCAGAGTGTGTTGTGTCTATTGTGTATAACACCGCAGTATATTGTATACCCGTGGCTCGTCTTTTTAGTGATTTCATTGATGACATTCATTAACAGTTTCAATTTGAACAACTACAAGATACTTTTCACACAAAGTGGTCGTGATGTATTGATACATTTAGTGCATTTTGTGTTGAGTACACTCTCTATTATGATTTGCCCGGCTACGGGATTAATGACTTTACTTCCCGTCCACTCGACTCCACTTCTTGTCACTCACGTTGCTCTTCACATCACGACATTATCACTTAGAAGTGTCGTCCCTTTAGTAACTCTTCCATTACAGTATTTCATCAGAGACAAACAATATTCCCCAATATACCAATCATTCATTCTGTTACCAATCTCACTGGTGTTATTCTTTATCAAATTTAACACAATGGATACACCACTCTTAACAATTCCATCAGTGCTTGTGCCATTGCTTTTACTCATACCGGCGAGCTGTTCGAATAAATACATTTATGTCTTCACATGTATGACTATACTCGTGTCTTTCTTCTTCGGGAAAACGACGTTGTTGCCATTGGTGCCGAACCTTCTCTTGTTCTACTTTTCTTCAACACCAACCACAGACACTGAGTTGTTTGCAGTTGGTGGTGCGAGTGGAATGAATCGGATATCTATCCGTCTGCGAGTCTTATTCACAAGAGGGTTGGAGGAGACGTTGAGTGATCATAAAAGTCGGAAATTGTTCTATTACTTCCTCATCAATTTACTATTTATGTTTGTCGAAGTGGCGTATGGGTGGTGGAGTGGATCTCTTGGGCTTATTTCCGACGGCTTCCATATGTTGTTTGACTGTGTTGCGCTTGCAATGGGATTGGTCGCGTCCGTCATTTCGCGGTGGATGCCTGACAGACTCTTTACATATGGATATGCCCGTGCTGAGACTCTTTCTGGGTTTGTGAATGCACTCTTCCTTGTGTACATCGCGTTCTTTGTGTTTCTTGAGAGTGTCCACCGCTTGATGCATCCCGCAGACATCAAAGTTGATGCCCTCTTAATAGTGAGTGTGTTAGGGTTACTCGTGAATATCATTGGTGTCTTTGCGTTCAGAGATAACGGCGAGGAGGATGAACAAGAGTGTGACTGTCCCGCTCAATTGGTGAAGCCAAAGAGAAAGAAAGGCAAAGATAACAATATGGAAGGCATCTTCTTACATGTCTTGTCGGACACGTTGGGATCCGTCGGTGTTATTGTGTCCTCATTTCTCGTTGAAAAGTTTGGGTGGGTTATTGCCGACCCAATCTGCTCATTATGCTTGTCGGGAATGATTTTCTTCAGTGTGATGCCCTTATTGAAAAACTCTGCCAATTTGTTACTCCAAAACACGCCGAAGTGCTTTGACGTTGAAGAGATTCAAAACAAAATCTTAAAGGTTGAAGGGGTGTCCGAAGTTGTCAAATTGAATGCGTGGGAATTTGCAGAAGAAAGTATGGTCGCAACGGCTGTTGTGAAAATGAAAGTCGAGTGCGATGCTGAAAAGATTCGAAGTGATGTCTATGCCATTCTGAAAGAAGAGGAGTTCAATAGCATCACTGTGGAACTCGTTATTTGATTGGGTTTTCATTCATGTTGTAAGTTTATAAATTAACGAGTTTTTTTTATTCATTTTTAAATTGTTTTTTCTTAAAAATTAACTCGTCATTTTGTGTTTATTAAGAAAAAAATACTCGTTAATTATTTTATTATATAGTTTGATTATAGTTATGATATTATTATTTAACTATATAGTGAGTGTTGAACTAATAAAACTGAATATGCTTTTATTTGTCATATGGGTGTGTCTCACCCAAAGGCTTAGTTATGGGTATCACATATTCAAAGAGGCGAGTGAAAGTTGGTATTTGGAATCTGCGTTACACTCATATACACTCTTCAAAATTAAAGACATTTTTCTCAATAATCAAAGTTCAGTTTCAGTTCAACTCTTTGACGAGACAAGAACATTTGATATGAAAATATCATGTTATGAAAATTCCATGGTCAGAGTCATTATGAAGCAAGTCAGTGGACAAGGTATGTATACGAGATATGAGTATCCTCTGACCAATACCCTTCTATCCTCAAATTATAGTTCAATTATTATAAACAATACTATATTTAATGGTATATGTGGCTCGAGTAAAGTTATAATTAAGAAACCATTGGAGCTCCAAATCGATGAACTTCATATTTCTCAATTTCTCTTTTCTAACAAACGTCCATCTGATGAGGTGTTCAACAGTCATGTCGATTCACACAAAAATGGTGACACGTCAATTGGAATTACTTTTTCATTTTCATGCAAAAACGAAACGAAGTATTTCGGATTGCCAAGAAGACCATTTTTTCGACTTGAGGAAAGAGATGAGCCGTATAGATTATTTAATGTCGACCCATTTGGATATAACAAAACTTCCCCACCATCACTCACAGGGTCTGTCCCCTTTTTATTAATTAAAAGAGGGAAAGTGTGGAACGGCATCCACGTCAACAATCCTTCTGAAAATTACATTACAATATATAACGAATCAAATGTACTAAAATTAAACTATACTGAACCATTAAAAAAAGTGAGATGGGTTGCGGAGTCAGGGGTAATAGATGTGACGATATTCGAAAGCGAAAAACCTATAGAAATTACACGTCAACTTTATAAACTCACGGGTAAGCAGGCTATACCGCCAAAATGGATTTTTGGTTATCAACAAGCAGCCGAGTGGTTTGTGTCGGATCAGTTTCTCGCAAACACAACAGAGGAATTCAAAATGGCGAATATACCTTTGGAGTCCATATGGCTACCACCACAAGCGAATTTCGATTTTCAAGTCTTTTCAAAGAATACCTTCATTACAAATGACCAAATATCTAGACTCAACAAAAAACATATTAAAGTAGTATTCTCCGTGGTTCCCTTTGTCCGGACGAATACTATAAATGAAACAACGTCTCTAAAGAATGGCACATTCCTTATTAAAGGAACACTGTCCAATAGCATCTGTGAGCGAATTGGCTTCATCGACTACGAAAATTATAACGGACGATTTTGGATGGAGAAGATGTCGAGCACTGCACCATTTTTGTCGTTGTGGCTCGACTATTCCGAGCCTTCCTCGTATTACTCCAACGAAATGACTATATTCAGAGACGCAATTCATCAATTCCACGAACACAGAGAGTTACACAACGCGTACCCCAATTTACACGCAGAGTCCGTGTTTAAAGGTCTCCAGAGGAATTCAATGAATTCTTATTATAAAAATATTCCGTTTATACTCTCGACTGGGTTTTATAGTGGTATCCAGCAATACGGCGGTGTCATTTTATCACAAAGTTCATCATCATGGGAGGGATTACAGTTTGTGATCAAAGAAGCCCTTTCTATGAGTATCAGTGGGGTGTCTTTTGTTGGGAGTGATATTGGTGGGTATTATGATATGTCCACATTACAAGTCTATTTGAGATGGCTACAGGCGTCTACATTTCTGCCGTTGTTCAGAGGGTATTCTGAAATGCACACATTCAGAAAAGAGCCGTATATGTTTAAAAACAACAGAGAATTGGTGAAGTATGCGTTTGAAATTCGGAACATGTTTTTGAGGTTTTGGAACTCAAAATTTATTGAGTGTCATATAAATGAAGTTCCCGTCATCAGACCACTATTCTATAACTTTCCTGATGATGAAAACAGTCTTTTAATAGAGGGAGAGTGGATGGTATCAACTGAAATACTTGTATCTGGTGTTTATGACGATTCTGAGAGGTGTCAGGTGTATCTTCCAAAAGGCCTTTGGTTCAATTTTTTCAGTGATGAAATCATTCAAAGCAATGCGAGTTACATTGAAATGGAAATTGACTATGAATTTATTCCCGTTTTTGTTAGGGGAGGGTCAGTGTTAGTTATCGGAGATAGAAAGTGTTTGACAGTCGAGGAATGTTTTATGAAGCACAATGAGCTTCATTTCTATTTGGGTGATGATGGCAATGCAACAACACTGTTTTATGCGAGTTGTGGGGAACGAGAAGGCGAGAGAATAGTTCGACTTGAATTGAAAGGGAATCAAAATACAATAGAAGGCAGAGTTCAAGAGATTTACACGTGTGAGGAGTGTAAAAAAGTACAACTTTTTGTTCGAAAGATAGTGATACACAATATGAACACAAAACCAAAACATGTACATTCCAAAGAAGTTCATATTATTCAAATAAAACACTTTAAAAATAAGAAGATGGTTTTATACATAAAAACGTTTGACGCAATACAGAATTTTATTATTAAATTCAGTTATTAATATTATTCATATCTTTAAAGGTACTTTAATAACACATGAAAGGTATCAATCAATCAATTATTCTTGTTTTCGTTTGGGAGAACCATCTCTCTTTCTTCTAAAAGACTGTCTTAAGCTTGAGTATCTCCTTCTAAGTTGAGAAACGGGTCCTTGGGAAGTAACTGTAGATGTTGAAGGTGAAGCTGCACCTCTTTGTTCAGCAGAACCATCATCAGATGCTCTTCGATGTTCGTAAGCTGTACCTGCATGTAAAAATCTGTCTTCGTAAATTAAAGACACTAATAAAGCATTTGGTAAAGACTGTAATTTGTCTCTTAAGTTGATTATAAATGTTTTAAGTAGTTCTTTGCAATCTCTCGCGACTCGTTCCTCTTTGAGAAAAGGTGTTGGTTTTAAAAAGACAGCCATCTTCAGTTGTATACCAAGAAATCGTCTTAAATGTTCCATACAATCATTGGCTTTTTGTTGAATTCTTTGTTGAGTCTGAGATAAAGATGGTAATACCTTTTCTAAAAATGGATAGAGTATTTCATACCATTTACTCATAACATCAAATAATATTCTTTCAAAACCTCTAGAAAGTAATGAAGAGTGAAACCTTTTCATGAAATCAACGAAGTGTGAACCTTCTAAATGTTGGTTTAATGTGATTTCCCTCATCAATTCAAGTTTATTATTTTCAATGGATAATAAAAGCTCAAAGTCTCGAATAAAAACTGGATCAACTCCTTCAGAATGTTGTTGGACAAAAGTTAATAACTCTTCAAAATCCGAAACCATCAGTCTTTGTTCTCTTTGGGTTTCGAGAATAATCATTTGAGTATTTTTTATGATTCCCCATCCAGAAGCACCTTCCTCTTGTGGTGGTTGCTGTTCTGGTTGTGATAAACAGAGAATAAATAGACAAGCAAACAAAACAACTTTCATCATACTTTGAAAACCAAGTTCACGGTTATTCTTTAATTTTATTGCCATGTTGTCAATATAATTTTTGTTGTGTTATCATATCATAAAAAATACCTTTTTATTTACATTTTCATTATTTTGAGAAAATAAATAACTTCTACAACTCAAGAGTTAAAAAGTAATTTTTAATTATAAGGCTTATTTAAAGTTTTAACATTAAACTTAAAAACAACAGATAAATAAAACTCGCCAATATGTTGATCATTCATTCATGAAGACAAGTTATTTCTTCAATTTTTTGTTCGTTTTTAAATGATTTTTCATATTACTTATTAAAATAAAATGCACTCTTTTTTAAAAAAAATATACAATTTATAATAAAACAATGTTAAAGTAATTAACTAAACAACAACGACTTACAAAACAAGATTGATTTATAACATATCAAAATTTATTAACATGATTTGGAACAAAAAATATGTAATAGTGTGTATTGTATACATTTTTCTATTATTTGAAACCAAAATAATAATTGAACGAATACGATTATTTTTAAATGAAAATGGGTATTGGTGTGTTTGAAACATATTTTTTTTAAAAATAACAATCTTTATTAAATTAAGTTTTCGCCTCGTTATGAACAAATCATTTTATTATATTGATTCAAAATAATTTATTAAGTCGTCATATCTTCAATTTATATATTTGTAAATTTTTATAACGAGTCTTGTGAACGATATTGGTGGTATTGTTTTAAACAATTATGATCAATATTAAATGCAAAGTATCACACAAATTTGAATTTAAACATCAAATAATTTTATTTATAACAAAATTTAAGACTCATTATTTAATATAATTGTTCTATTTAAATATACAAATTAAATAACAATAATTAATTTTATTTATTAATATTAGTTTATTATTTTTGATATAATTTTATTTATATTTTATTCATCTTATTATATCAACCAATAAAAACTTATATATTAATTTTATTGATTAATTAATAAATTGATTAATTAAAATGATACTGTTATAAATTCCTCAAAAACTCAAAAAATCAATCAACTAATCCAATGTATAAGAATCAGAATATGATGTTTTTGGGGGGTTTCCAACCTCCCAAAAAACATGTTGAACCTGAGAAGCCAAAAGAAATTATTGACCCCGAAGAAGTTATAAAAAATTTGCCGATGTCTGAGTATAGAAAACAAATGACAGAGCACACTGAATGTCTTGAGCGTTCTGCAATGTTAAAGATCATCCAAAGTGAAGTCAGTGGTTTGTCTTTCATTACATAACCGTCAACACAAGAGATTTGAATAACAGATAGAATTCTGTTCACTCTCGACATTATGTCCTCCCCTTGCTTTAACCTTACTATCCCAAAGGGGTCTGAACCAACATAAGCTTCTAGACCAATTTTATGCAGATGATAATTTTTTAAAGCACAACGGCTTTTCTGAACACTTCACCGATTACCTTTGTCCTGAAGAAAAAGTGTTTCCCTCAGACTACATTTCTCTCAGAAACACAAGAATTGACAATGTTGTTATCAACGAGGAACAAGTTTGCGATGTGATGGGAAAAGGGTATAACCGATGTCTCGCCGTTCTTGCGTTGATATACTGTCAAAACAACTTCGCGGAAGCAATCGACTATTTACAACAAGGATCACTTTTCAAAAAAGTGCCGAAAAAGTTGCAACAGTATCGAGGTAAAATATTACCACCATACGACACTCTACAGAAATGCGAAGTGTTCTCTGTGAGCCCCGAGTTTTACTTTGATGTATCTTTACACTATCGTAGTGAGAAAAATGTCATTGACGCTATCACCAACAACAACGTGGCCAATAACTTTGTCAAATGGTTCGACATGCTGAAACAACGACTTGAAAGGAACAAAATAGAAAGGGAAAAATTACTTGAAGGGAAGAGTGTGACGTGTGATGTTTGTTACGAAGACTATTTACCAGAAGAAATGGTGCGCAACCGATGTGGAGATTCTTTTTGTCGTAAGTGTGTAACGGATTATGTCAGAAACGCGATGAAAGAGTCTGGGAAGACGATTGGCGTCTTGAAATGTATGCGTTCTGGGTGTCCGTCGTGTTTGTGTTTAGATGTTATCCGCAGTGTATTGGATGATTTTGCGTATTATCGGTGTTGTGAATTAATTATCTCCAACTTCATCCAAACTGATAGTGAGTGTCTTTGTAAATATTGTTGTAACGAGAAATGCACTAAAGTGCTTCATTACAAAGGAAAATACACGCAGTTGAGCAAAGGAGTGACCGGGTTGTGTAATTGTCAAACTTCCGTATGTCTCCGGTGTGGTGAAGAAAATCATCGACCAGCCAGTTGTGAGATGAACAAAAAGTGGCAAGAGCTCATGAAAAAGGATGGACTTAATATGAAATGGATTAAAGAGAACTCAAGAAAGTGTCCAAAATGTGAGACGTTTATAGAAAAGAATGGAGGGTGTCAATGGATGTCATGTTATAAGTGTCAATCGTTCTTTTGTTGGGTGTGTATGCAAATTACTAATGACCATCAACATAAACCAGGACAGGAGTGTAAACCATACAAAGCAAAAGAGATTGAGGGGTCTTACGTTGATGAACCAACATTAAATTTACTGACTCACTACGATTTGCAGAATGTCGGTGTAAAACAGGCTCTTGAACGTAACCAGGCGATACTGAAAATATTAAAAGAAAAGAAGTTGATTCTATCGACACTTGTTCCTTTGTACGAAGCATCACTGGTCGAAATTGATGCACACGTTGTGCTCCAGAATTTATTGATTTATGAATATGGAACCCCCCAAAAAAAGGAACTCATCGATTTCCAACTCAAAGCATTTCAACTCCCAGCTGAGTTGCTCACAAAAGAAATACAAAAGATTTTAAAAATGGAAGTCATCACGGTAGAAACGATGAGCGACTTAACATCGATGGTCGGAAAAACAAAGAAAATTTTTGAGAACATTGTGAATTCGTTTGAAGAAGAAGAGGAATATGATGAAAATGATTGAGTTGTTGTTCTTATATTTAATGCTTTACTATAATCAATAGAACCAAAAACCATTAAAAACTAGTATAAAATAAATGAAAAACATTTGAATAATATGATGATTATATTCATAATAAGATTTAATAACATCACAACATAAAAAGAATACTTTCTAATTCATTACATGGAAAACTTAAGTGCAGTTGTTATTGATAATGGATCGTATATGACAAAGGTTGGATTTAGTGGGGAAGAAAGTCCAAAGGTTGAAGTTCGAACTGTGGTTGCGCAATGGAAAACAGAAATTCTTGGGTTGGATAGACCGTCATGCTATGTCGGAGAAAAGGCAATTGAAATGAACAAGAAGGCTTCAAACATACTAAATATGTCGAACCCAATTTCCCATGGCAATGTGAGTGATTGGGAAGCTTTAAAACTTTTAGAAAGAATGATCGCTCTTATTGATCTCCGCATAGAACCTTCAGAGTATAATGTTTTTATAACAGAACACCCCGACGCAACGAAGGCATGCCGAGAGAAAATGGCTGAAATACTATTAGAATCATATCCTGTTGAATACAAAGGATTAAGTTTTGGGATGTCTCCTGCAATGTCACTGTATGCTTCTGGAAATACAAGTGGAGTGTCTATAGACAGTGGAGATGGGTGTACTTGGTGTGTTCCGGTGTATGAAGGAGTGGTGCTACGTGAGGGAATAAGACCGATTAAAGTGAGTGGAAATGACATGACTGAATACTTCAACAAATTGATTGCTGGCAAAGTGGCGGAGTACCCGGACCTTGCTGATATTAATCTTGTCAGAGAAATCAAAGAGAAATTTGTGTATCTTGCCAACGATTATGAAGAAGAGCTTAAGAAGCCAGAAGACCAAATTGAAAAACAGTATGAACTTCCTGATGGTCGAATAGTCAAAATTGGGAAGGAATGTTTCACATGTGGAGAAATGGTATTCCACCCTCAGATGGCGGGAATTGAAGAAAATGGCATTCATCAAGTCATTAACGAATCTATCAATAAATGCGATATATACACCAGAACGATTTTGTATGGAAATATTCTTTTGAGCGGAGGAACCTCAATGGTATTTAATAATAACACCAGGTTTGAAATGGAGTTGAAGAAACTTGCACCATCACAAATCATTAAGCGAAATCACATCGACAATACAATTAATGCAAGTTGGATTGGAGCTTCAATTTTAACTTCTTTGACTTCATTCCAAAAAATGTGGGTAACTCGTGAAGATTATGAGGAAAAGGGCGTGGCTGTGTTCGGGAATTTGACGTTGTAATTAACGTTTGATTTTTGAATTCTATAATTGTGATAAATAGATTTAATGCTATAATCTATAGTTTCTCTAAAACGTAATGTTTTCTGTGTGGAATTAATGTGTTGAAACTAAATAACTAATTATAATATAATCTATATTAGTGATTGAATAACAAATAGTTGAATATATTAATTATTATAAAACATTTTAAACAATTTTTTTAAATTATTTTTTATGTTATAAAGTCTGTCTAAAAATGTTGTTCATTTGACAATAAAATACACGAAATAGGTTAAAAAATAAGGGAGTTAGGTATAAATGTTGAAAACCAGGTATAAATTAGAAATAGATGTTTTATAGTTTTTCAAACAGAATCCCGAAATATTAAAGTTTAAATGGTCTAAAAACGGACAACTATAAAAAGTGCATTTATTATTTAATATATTTAATAATAAAAGCATTTAGATTACTAAAAACGTTGTCCGCTTTTAGATTATTAAAAACAGACAACGTTTTTAGACTGACTATTATTATTTATAACAAATGTTACAATTATAGTTGTGGTGATGATTCATTATAGATTAAACAATAATTACACAAAACTCCCTTTTTTTTAGGTAATGAATTAAAAAAAAATACTATAATATAACATTCGACAAAAATGGTAATTAGTTTTTGATGAATGATAAAATATAATCTATAAATAACATTAATATATTTTCCCGATATTTTAGTTGTAATCAAATGATTTTTTTTGTTTTATCAAACAAATTAAAAAAATTTGGCAAAATCAACAGAAAAAAACTAAGCACTCGACTTTTTCAAAAAGAAACACATGAAGAATTTCTTAATTTATAATTAAACCCCAACTTCAAAATCACAATCCGATATATCATGGCGGACAAAGTGGTCGACAAAAAGCCCGAAATTGACTTGGACACCGAATTTTATCCCTGTTGCATTACATGGACAACTATTCCAGTTATATCATGGTTTCTTCCATTTATAGGACATCCAGCTGTATGTGACACCAAAGGTATTCATCATGATTATAGCTTTCCCCATATAGTCCATGCGGGACGACGGACTATATTAGGGCGGACATTTAAATACCTTCCTCTTCAGTTTGGTGATGGTGTAACCTGTGACGACTTTGAGAAGGCCATTGACACTGCAAATAAGAAGTGGAAACACATTATGCACAAGTACATCATCGACAATTGCCACGATTATTGTGTCGACATCCTCAACGATATTAAATATAAAAACAAGGACAACTGGTGCAACTTCACGTTTATGCTCGAGCTTCTCTTCCACTCCGTTTATGTGAATAAATCCCGACATTTTGCCACTTATCTCCCCGGCATAATATTATGGTCGTTTATCCTGTTGGCTATTGGAGGCTTTATCGTTGTCATGTTATATCAGAAGAACTTCTTTTAATGCAAATAGAACAAAACATGTATACTCTCACTTAGTTACTTTCATATCACTCTAACTCACTCGTTTTATAACTCCGTTTTTGTGTTGATGTCATTGTGACTCGCATTCTCTTGTGATCTTTTCTTAATGAAAAGCTGTTCGTAATGTTCTAGAGTCCACGCGATGTCATCAGAGACATAATCCGTCCCATCTAAGAAGAGTAAGTTGTCTGTCTCATCAAACCCTATTTCTGCATTTTTGCGAATGAAGTTGTAGATCTGTCTTGCGTCTGGATACTCTGCATATGGCATTTCTATATACTTAGTAGGGATGTGCGGGTAGACTAGAATAGTGGGGAGTTGGAATAAAGGCTCTTTGACTAACACGTCGTTCAGTAACACATTGATATGGCCAAATGCGATTTTAGGGTTCTTTGCTAATTTGTTGGCTACTGAAGAAAAAATTTTGAAGTATGTCTGTTCGTTCTTGTGAATTCCTTTGTGGACCAAAACAACAACGTTTGTGTCTTGACTCACGAAGTTATCAAAAGTCTCTGCTGTGAGTTCCGTGACATTCTGATTGAACTGCGTTGGAACAACAGATGATCGAATTGTTGGGTCTACTTTGCTCTGTATGACATCTTCAATCCATTTGTTCATCTCCTTTGGTGTCCATTTCCCGAAGTAGTCATAAGTGATACGTTCTGCTTTGGTTATTATTCGTAAGTGTTTTTTAGTAGGGAAAAGTCTTTGAGCGTTGAGTCCAAAAGTCGTGTTAACGGTAATTGTGTCTTTTAGTGATACAAATCCACCAAATACATTTCCCCAGTTCTTTTCCAAACTTTGGGATATCAAATTTCCATCATTGAAGTCTTCTGAATAGATCAAAGCGACGGACTTCTCGAAATATTTCATGAGGAATTGATACTCTGGTGTAAATTTCTGGTATGGGTAAGCAATGTGTTCTTTAATAAAGAACGTCAACTCGTCCGACTTAGTGTTTGTTTGAAACGACGCTTTGACCAATTTGTTCTCATCGAAAAGTGAATGTGTGAAAGCTGTGATAGCCAGTTCCGATGGTCCTCTTTTAACAAAGTACATGAATCGTCGACTTTCAGAGAAGTATCTAGTCACTATATTCTCGATGAATGCACTGTACTTCTCTATTTGTTTCGTTGAATTAAATTTGAATACCATTAACGTGTGATACTCATTTTGGAAGTCTTCGATATCGTCTTCGTCCACAATAGAAAGAACTGGTTCCATATTTCTGTGTATCCACCTTTGAATACTTGCTACCTTTTTGAGGCCATCATAAGAACTAAAAAAGACTCCATTTCGATAGAATAGTAATTGTGGAAATTGTGTGATCTGACATTGCGACGCTCCACAATCTATATTGGCTAAAGCATACGTCCTATTCTCACTTCTTTTATTCTGATTTTGAGCGTCAAGTTCCTCAATAACAGGTCGTAATTCCTTGCAATGAATACACCACGGCAGTGAATAAAAGATCACTGAAAACTTGTTGGCAGTTACAAATTCGTTGAGTTGGTCATTCAAAATTTGCTCAAGACCACTACAGAGGGCAACTACACAAAAAATCACCAACATCAAATTTACAGTTCAACAATGAAATAAATAGTTAAACAGATAAATTAGAAAAATGTTATTCACTTATTGCTGCCAAATCAAAGTAGCAATTCCAAGAGCAATGCACGACAAAGAAACCCATGGCGACGCTCGTTCACCAAGCCGAGCTGCTTTCCACATCATCCCCGGAACACCCTCTTTTTTCTTGTCCATGAAGTTTCGGATGAACCCGATGTTCAACCGGAGATATGTGCATGTACACACAAATAGTATGATAACGACCATCATCGATTGAAAATTGAAGAGTGCAGTCTACCAGTCATTGTTGTTTTTTGTATGATTTTCTATGAAAGACGTATTATCAATAAAATTAGTGGAAATAGTTGAAATATTAATCCGTCTTAAACAAACCATTTCTCTGTTTTTTAGTTTTTCTTCTTTCTCTTTTTTTTAGTCTAATCTAATTGTTATTTATACTCTTTTTATTATTTATTAATCTATTATTTTATTATTGTAATTATTATATAAATATATTTAAACATCTGTATTTCGGGATATTACCGAAATGTTTAGATTGAATCCCGTTGGAGTGATTTTTATTGTTTTTGTTCATATTTCAATTAATAGTTTAAATATTAAATATTATTAGATATTATTACTATAATATAAAAAATAAAAAAAAATATTTTTATTAAATGATAAAATTATAAAATACTAGAAATAACAAATTCTAGTTATTATTAATTTATTTATAAGAAAAAGAACCAATTAAAGAATAATTCAAAAGTAAATAAATACATTTCTATGTGTAATTTTTAGCTAGAAAGTATAGCTTAGTATTTTATTCCTCTCTTTCTTGGTGAGAAGAAAGCAATAAAACGACTTCTTCTTTTAGTCTCTCCCAATTCGTGCATTTCTTGTACACTTAAAGAAACGACTGGTTTCACAATTCTCCCACTCCTTGGGGTTTTTGGATCAGTTTCATTTGAGAATGGCTGTGACACTCCTGTTGCAAAGTAGTCGAAGAGTTTGTCCAAGTTAGTGTTTTCCTTGGCGGAGACATTAATCACTGCACACGGACATATCATCCCTATTTTGGTATATAACTTAGTGATATCCTCTTCTTCGACTCTTCTTCTCTCAATCAAGTCTGCCTTATTTCCACAGATGATGACAGTGGGATACTTAGTTCTTCCACTCTTAATGACAGACGACAAACAATTTCCAATATTCTCTTGGGCATGTCTGAACGTCATTTCGTCGGAGAGTGAGAAGACAAAGACGACATAATCCGAGTCAAGAAATTCTCTCTCGCGCAATAACTGAAAATCATCTTCGCCACTCGTGTCGACAATTTTTGCGTGGACGGAAAACCCTTCGACGCTAATTTGAGTGTTGTATGAGTCTTCAATAGTCGGTTCATAGTTCTCTTGGAAATAATGCTTGATATATCGTTTGATAATGGCGGTCTTTCCTGCTGTAGATGAACCAAAGAATGTGACTTTAATCGATGTCATTAATTGATGTATGTTTTTAGTATTTTTCGTTTAAATTGAGTTCGTGTTTCGTTGTTCTAATTTGACAAATTACTGTTCTATTCCTGTTGTGTGTTTTATTTGCTTTTTTGACAGTAGTTCTCTGTAAATAGATGGGATGTTTGGGCTAAAAACTATAGAAATTGTGCAATGGAAAAAAGAATATGTACTTTTTTTTGCAGCATATATTGTTTTGTGTTAAGCTTTTAATACATATGTTATAATATAAAGTAATTTATAGTCATATAATGGGCCTTTAATAATATATAAAGTGTTGTTCGTAAAAAAAGGCGAAATTGTCCAGTTTTTAGTTAAAAAAGTGGATTGATTTTTCTAGTTTTACTAAAAAGACCCGATTTAGTAAGCTTTTGTTAACCATGGAGTGCTTTTGTTTTTACGATTTAATTGTGATATATTCCCGGTTTATTAAGCATGTATAATGCAATTTAAATCATTTCACAAATCCACAAAAACAACAGAAAAGAAATAAATGTATTTTTAGGAAGATTTGCTTTATTTATATCAAGCCACTTTTCTTCCGTTTTTTGATAAATAGCGCACTAGAGTAAGAGTTCCAACCCACTTTTGGGATACAATGGACATCTTTATTTTTTATTAACCAATTTCAAAGAAATTGCATATTGAAATATGGCATTTTATAAAAAATATATTTCATGGTATTAGGAACTTTAAAATAATATTTTTAAATTAACATGAATTATATTTGCTGAAGAAAAACAAATGAACGGCTAATTCAATTATTGTGACTCAAATTCTTTTTTATTGAAGCTATTTTGTATTGATTATCATATATGTGTATTTTATGGTTCTATTTGCCTTATTATTAAAAAAGGAACATTTCAGCAAAAACCAGTTTAATGAATCAAAAATAATAATCACCTATTGATTTCTTGTAAAAAAGGTGTTTAATCGGGCTAATTATATTACTTCGGCGTTTTCAAACTCATTGTTTTGTATTATTATTTAAAAAGAAAGTCGAATTTTTCAAAACTTTTTGCACCCCTCCAAAATGTCAAGATGTGTTTTTAAACTTCGTCTTCATTATTTAAAAATTTTAATAAGTAATTTATTATAAAGTTTGTAAATTGTATAATTTATTATTACACACAAAACTGTATTGATGCATTGGATTATAATTGTTTTTATAATATCATCATCTCCATTTTTCAGAACAACCATCTTGAAATATAAATTCTATATTTTAGTGTAGATGGTGGGGTTATGATATTCTGAACAGTTGTTTTCTGTGATATTTTTCATAATGAAAACGAGTGTATTTGTCAACAATCACTTTATTCTATAATTAATGCAATCCAGTTAAATATATAATTTAATTTAAATGTTTCAACTAACGCTGTGGCTATTATAATTGATACAAAAAGTAGTGGGTTTGTAACAAACAATTGTAATTAAGTGATAGTATTGAACAAAAAAAACGATTTCAAAGTCTTTAAATTAGTCCACAAATCGAAGACACCATCAGCAACAACCTTCCTTTTTCTGTGTTGGTTGTAGTGATGCGTTGTCTAAAGGTTTTGGTGTTGCAACAAGTCGTTCCATAATAATTTTGTTGTTATAAATCGCCTCGACTAACGTCTCAAATATTTGGTCAATGTTTTCCCCCGTCTTTGCAGAGCATCGCATTGACCGCAGACCTCCACTCAGTCTACAGTACTTCTCTGACATTTCTGCAGTCACAACTGCGTCCGCAGAATCAATTTTATTCCCAACAACCAATATTTCGGGTTTGATGTTGCAGTCATTAAGTTCGTCGATCCAATACGATACTTTTTCAAATGTAGTAACTTCCTCGACATCGTACACAACTGTTTTTTATTTTCCATTCATACTCTACAATGAAAGATAATTGTCTAATGAAGATACTTATATAACTATTATATATAATAACAATAAGAAATAAGAACTATATTAATTTGTATGAATTGGGTTCTATTCTATTTTAAGAACGCATTAAATAATAAATTATACTATAAAAAACTATTATATAATCAATATTCTATATATAAAATACTTGTTAATTCAACACACGAATGAGGAAATCTAAAACAAACTCAGGCATCCATGGGTACCGCGGTAATAACTCGACGTGATATTGCGGAACCTTTCCTGTCCAGCTGTTTGTCATTTTGAAAGTTCAGACTTGGTCAAGACTTAACCAAGAAGTCGATATCGTTGAATCAAGTAACAAACCAGTGTCCCATAATCTTTTAGTCAGTACTTTAATCGGCACAGAAATGGTACAACAAACTGTAATTTAATCGTTTTGCCTTTGTAGTTAATCACACGCGATTTGAAATCGACACCAATGGTTGAAATGAGTTCCTCGTGGAACTCATTGTCGCAGTACCGCTCCAATATTGCCGTCTATATGTCAGGTGTTTCTATTTAAAAGTGGAGAATAAACCTTCCCAACAGCAGATTCGCCGATAATGAGAATTTTGAAAGTCATGTCGACTTGTGGTTGTAATCGAGGCTCGATGCTCATCCTGTTTTTGTTTGTCTTTTAAGTTTCAATTTTTTTCTGTTCATTTTGGTGTCTCATTTTTGTTTCAGTAGATAGTATTATTATTATATTTCTATAATATATTTTATTAATCAATGAAGATATTACATCATTTTTGCGACTTTGTTTTCTAAAGAAAACAACAAATATTGTGTTAGGCTATTTAGATATTATAACACTACATTTTCTTTTATAATAATGGGATTGTATTATCATAATTATTCTTTATGTTTGTGATAATAAAAGGCGAAATCATGATAATTTATAAAATAACAATTACAATACTATAGTTCTTAATAACAAGATAATTAGAATTAAAATTTTCTTTTGATAAACTTTTTTTCTGTTTTTGTGTGTATCGGTTTAGTTTATTTATTAATTGATTAAAATTAAAAAATAATAAATAATTCAAAATTAAAAGTATTAGTTTTTAATTTAATTAATTAATTATAAATTGTTTTAGTATTTAATCAAATTAAAAAAAGTTTGATGTTAGAAAAGTGGAACTAATAATTATTATTATATTTAATTATAAATATAATTAGAATAATATTAAATATATGTAATTTAATAATTGGTAAATTAAACCATATTGATTAGTTTGTTTTTAATAAAGTCAAAATTTATATGATTAACAATAATTGTTTAATAATATTTTGACTATTTTTTTTATAAAATGTTTGACTGAAAAAAAACAAATTATACATATGACAAGTTTGACTTAAACGACAAGTTTGGGTTAAATGGTAAATATTATAATTTAATTATAATAAAAATTTGAACTATAACCCGAACTAATTAATTGCTTTTTTATTATCAAGTTTATATAAAAAATTGAATAATTAAAAGCAAGCCAAAAACCCAAACACACAACATAAAGAATAAGAAAGCAATGAACAAGTAAAGATAATTATAAACTATCACACGATCATGATCATCACCAACATTTTAATGTGATCACAAACAATAAAGTTTTATCAAAATTTGTCAAATAAAGTAACCATAACATTTCAAATTCAATTATTAATACAGTCTAATTTGCCTAGAGTGTGTAATTATTATTTTTGTTGTTCTCTATTATTTGAGCATTTCTTAAGGACAAACCAAAAACAAGATAGACATGCTCTTTGAAGAGTGGGTCCACTTTTTATTGGCCAAAATCAAGCGGAGATTCTTAATAAATCACACTCTTGGGAGGTTTGAAAGTTTTTCCTTGCGTTGAATTCGTTTTTATGGATATTATTATTTAATTAAGTTAAAAGCGGTATTCTTCCATCGCGATAAGAAATACTGCTGATTTATCGTATTAAAATAAATATAAAATAACACAAACGTTTCCGAATGAGGCGGCACATGTTTTGGCGCGTTTGAACTCAACGAGACAAACACGTTAAAACATATAAAACAATACTTAACATGTGTTTTGGTTTTATTTTTCAAGATCAGAGTGTAACATAAAACAATAGAATTAATAATAATTTAAATATTATTCTATTTAACCATTATATTTTTTTCTAGTTTAACCCACTGTTTACTATAATAATTGGTTTTTAAACCATTAACATGAACCATTTAAGTCAAACTATTCCATTTAAGGCAAACTTGTCTAACTGTATCGTTCAATTTAGAATATAAACTATAACTTATAGATGTTTTTTTGTTAGTAACAATTATAATATTTTTATCTTAATTCTATAGTATTAATTTGTTCGAAAAATAAAAAAGCAGTTAAAATTTTTTCGTTTGAAAAATTTAAAATCAAAATAGTTTCTAATTTTTTAATTAGTTACACATTCAGTTTTAATATCTTTTTAAATAATAAAAACTAATATAATCTGAATATTATTTGTTCTGTTTAAAATAAATTAATTATTTAATAACATTTTAACAAATAAACTAATAAATATAAAAACTTAATACCATACAAATTGATTTAATTGGTCAAAGTCAAAAGAACTCTAGTTGGGTATTGGGATTTGATTTAACGCCCCTGTCTCAAAATAATCGAAGGGTTTTGGAACCCATCCCGACATTTTACATTAAAACCATACAACATAAGCAAACCCCAATCAATTGAAATGGCTAACGGCCTTTGACGATTTTTAATTTTGGAGCCTTCTTCTGTTTTATTCTGCAAAAGAATAAAAAATGGTGCTGTCTGAAAATACAAAATATCGGGATATGCAACCAATCAAACAACAAATTATTTTAAATCTTTAAACGAAAAAAAATGGTGGAGTAGAACTTGTTGAATATGCTGGGAGATCTCAGCGATTGTTTACAGTTCTTTTTTTAAACAAAAACATAATCAAAAAAAAAGTGAGGCCCGATTTGTAGCCAATTATTACCTCAATTATTTCTAATTTTTATCAAATTTAACCGTCCAATCATTTTCTTTTAAAAATGTCTTATTAAAGAATTATTAATTAAAAAAAAACTTGTTAAATGCGAAGACTTTTGCACAACCGTTTTTGTGTTTTATTAAAAATAGTATTACTATTATTAAAACTATAAATTATTATAACTTTGTAACACTTAGATTGAAATGGTTCGTTTGAGCCAAACATATTGATGATCTCCACAATTCAATAGTTGTGTTTAAAAGAAAACTCCAGAAAATCATTCTTTTTCTTACGAAAACAATAACCCTAAAAATACCGTCTTAAAGGCCTTCGTCCAATTCGAGTGTCACTTTTTCATTTTTTTGAATAATAAACGTTTAAAAAAACTCTTTTATTATTCACACCACTTCAATTGTTATTTAACCATTTTATGAAAGTTGTCCACTCCAACAGAGACAAAACTCCAAATAACAAAATAATGTAACAACACTATTTATTCAACACTCAACCGACACTTTTCGCTTACCTCTTCCCAAAAATGACCAACATCAATTTTTAGTCGTTTTGTCCTTCTTAAACTCACAAATCTCCAAAACCTACACAATGAGCCAACAAAGAGTAGCTGCCTCTCCAATTACCACTTCAAGCTACGACTCTCTTTCAGAGCGAAAGACCACAAAAAGATCAAAAGACAAATCAAAGAAGTACCTCAACCAGAAGAATGACTTGAAGAGCTTCGAGTCGATTCAACAAGGCGTTCTGTTGGCTTTGCTCAACACTTTCTGTGACTTCTCTTTAGAACTCCCAACAAAGCTTTCTACAGTCACTTTGAACAATCCACGGCTTGTTTCCTTAGTTATTGGTGACGAAGAGATCAATGTCAAAAGACTGAGTGAGCGGATGTATGCCGATTCATTCATTTGTGAAATGCAGCGTGGTGTCAAAGAAGAGACTTGTGTCAGGACATACGAGAAGAAGAAGCGCATCTTCATCAACAACTTCCTCGTCGATGTTGCTTTGGAACTCGGTTTTGTCTTCGACTCAAAGTACTCTCGAAAATCAAGACAAACTCTTCAACTCGAACGAGTTCAACGTATTTTCAAAGACGGTCAACTTGTTATGGACAGAGACGACATTATCAAACGGGGAAAAGCCATCAACAAATATCTTTTCTCTTTAGTATCCAACAACAACTCCGTTACCATCGCTCGAAACAATGGTACACTCCAGAAATTACTTCTTTCTGACGTCTGTTTGACTCCTTTTGGAATCAACCTTACCAAGTAAGTTGTATGACTTACGCGTTAAATAGGGCAGTTCTTGCAACACCTGTCATAAATAGTTTTATTTAGCTTTATGTTTCTTCATGTTGTGCAACCAAATGTATAAATACAAGTAAATTCAGTCTTCAATATTCGAGATGAGTTGTTCAAACTGACAGCCAAACTCGACAAACTGCTTCTCGAACTCAATCTGTTCTTTCTTTGATTCTTGGGAGTGCATTTTATAATTATCAAACGCAGTATTGTAGCACTCTTTCAGTCGCTGTATGTTTGTTTTCAATTGTTTGTCATCGTCGACCTCATCGCAACTTGATTTGGTCGCTAACTTCCTCACAATGTTGAGCACAGAAAACACACCGGTGCTGTCCATTGTCGACAGGACGAATTCTTTCATTTCAGACACGGCTTTCAGTGCTCTCGCAGAATTCTTTCCACACTCACAGATATAGAACGAAAGCGACTCAACAATTTTGTTGATCACATCGATCGCGTAACTCAGCGGTGTGATCTCTTCGTCCACTTGACCAATGACAATTGATCGTTGCATCCCACTTGGCAAGACCATCTTCGTTTTGACGATTCTCTTCGATATCACACAATCAAATAAATCACCACACTCCTCATCAACCATTTCAAAAGAAAACGTGTTCGTGTTCGTGATACGTGGTAATGGCACAGTCTGTTCTTCTCCATTGATCACAGGAAACACTTCTTGCGCCTCCTCAAACTCATACCCACACTCTTCACACGTTTGTTTGAACTGTTCATTAAACTCTTTCTCAGAAAGCATCGAGGTGTACACATAAAACAATTCTCCGATAACCACCAAGTAATAGCGTGGACTCTGTGATTTCCCATCAACATAATTGTCCAAGAAGATCGAAATACTTTCATGGACCGTCGCCAACCCGTTGTAATTCCGATTCTTATCAAACAAATTCACCAACATTTCACACGCTTCCAAACCGTACCACGTCATGCGAGCTTTTGCAAACATTTCAAGCGCTTTGTACGCGTGCGTCAAAAACAGATCTTTTGTGAACTCAATCGGATACGTGTTGTTGTTGTTGTTGTTTTCCTTCTTGTCGATCAAAAAGTCTCCACAGATGTTGATCAAATTTTTCATATCCAATATCCCAATGTCAGTGCCTTGAATCACTCGGTAGACATAATACACCACCTGGATCTCACAGATCCCAGCCTCCAAGAAATTTCCGATCTCAATCTGTTTTTTGATAATGTTGTCTATCCACAACAAGTGCAACAAAGGACTTGCTCGGTACTTCTCGGCAAGACCAAGATACCTTTCCGTCAAGTCGTTCACGGTATTCTTCCCTCTCATCTCATCAAAGTTTTGTAATTCCAACGACACCGCCAATATTTCGTTTGCAACAGAACGAACCGACTCAACCATCTTCGTGGACGCAGCACAGCTGGTTACATAAATAGGAGCAACAAGAAACGACGACAAATCAGTGAGGGTATACCCAATCGGGTCTTCCTGAAAGACCAACGGAAATTGTGGTTTTCCATCCGATGATCTGCTCAGTCCTTTTCTCATCAATTTTTGGAAGATCTTTTCCATTGATTCTCCACCTTGTTTGTACTCAACGTATCGATTCAACCCAACAGTGGGAGTTTGATGCATCTTTGTCATATTTTGGTACGTTTCTTTGGCGTTGTTGTAGTGTTTAAATTCACTTCGCTCTCCAGTACTCAAACAGATGCTTGCACTCTCCGAAAACTCTTTATACATCTCCGCGTATTCTTTCCTTTGAACTTCGTGTTGGTCCTCCAACGCTGATCGGGTTCTGATATCTCTCACGGCTTTAAATATTTGTAACGATGAAATGCGAGAAAGAACGGCGTTACTCGCCTTAAAGAATTCCTTCTGGTCATTGTTCTCAAACACCGTTTCTTTGAGTTCGTTGTACACCGCAATCTCTTTGTCCGTGTTTGCTTTTACAATATTAAACATCGTTAAAAAGACGCGCAAAAAGTCATTTGGATCTGGGGGTGTGAATGAAAGAAGTTTCGAGACGGTAGAACTCCACTCATCAAGTACAACCAACTTCTGTAATAACGTTTTGTTCTTCTCGTGGTTGTTATCAGCAATCGTCGCCTTGTCCATGGCCTCTTTCGACTGGGCAAGCAACTCAATGATCTTTGATAACAACTCCTGCGCAATTTTGTTCTTTCGTCTGTAATCAATCAACACGTTATCCGTCTTAACCACTGACATGACGTTTGGCAAATTGTTCACCAACACTTGACTCGACTCAATTGGAAAAACTGTATCTGGGAAGACCGTCGCGCCAATAATTTTCTGTTGCATTGAAATGGTTAATTTCGTCGAACTTCTTCGAGACTGCAGCCTCCCATCAACTGATCGTATGAACGCTCCACTGCCATTCCCAAGAGAGTTGGATCTTTGTTGTTCAGTTTTTCGTGGTGACAGTTTTGGTGTAATTGGGTCATTCTTGATGTATGAATGTAGTGAATTGTATTGCCAGTACATTTCCCTCAAATTTTTAGCAATGGAAGCCCGTGTGTTTCCTTGATCCTTTGGGTCCGACGAATCGGTCATCGATTTCTTTTTGATGTGTGAAACTTGCACGTTCAACGATTTGTACATCTGGAACAACGAAAAAAGTTCGTCCGGTGTGACATTCACAAGCGGATTTGATGTCACCCCAAGTTTTACAAGCATATCGTAATTGTTTTGATACAAATTAAGAAACGACGCACCCTTTCGAATACATTCGGCATTGACCTCTCCAATGGTTTTGACCATAAACCCGAAAAACGTTTCGATGATTTTTTTACAGGCAATACATTGGCTCCGCACAGCTTCGATTTTGTCAATCGATTGTTTGGACAACCTCTTGATGTCGTCGTGCATTTTCTTATACCCCTTAAAGACGTCTTCCAATTTCAACAACTGCGACGTCACCTCCACAGAATTCGAGTAATGCTGTTTCGTTATTTCCTTGATCTTTTCCATTTGTTTTTCTTTGGCCTTCACATCGTCATCAAATTCCATCGCCAACGACATTTTTATCTCATTCATACGGTCAATTGCAGACGCTTTGATATCAACAATCTTCTTCAAAATGGCCACATTCTTCTCCATCATCTCCGTGAAAAAATCTAAACAATCAAGCGCATGTCCTTCAAACATGGCGTTATCGATACTTTGCACCTCTTGACAGATTCGAGTTTCCCTGACCATGATCAACGCGTCTTGGTTGCGTTGTTGTGACAACATATCAAACATTGTTTGAAGTCTGGATAACGGCGTGTTGTTCAAATAATAGACAAGTGTGGAAAGGTGTTTGGACTCGGAGCTGTTATGGAATAAATACGTAATGATCGCATCCCGCACATCGTTTGCACTTTGTCGTGAGATGAAGTTCATGAAACACAAAATCCAAATTATTTCCTCGGCCCGCAACTCCACACTTTGGTTTCCAGTCAACACCAATTTCAGAAGGACTTGGATTATTGGTGAGATTATTGGCTCGACATTTCTACCGCATTTCTGGAGGAACTTTTCGATACCAAGAAAGACCATATCGGATATAAAAGCCTTCGCTTCCAACGTTCGTGCCATCTCACATAAAATTTCATTGACAACCTTTTCAACATCGGTGTTGTGTTCGTGGTGTTGGTAGCATTCAATAGTTATTCTCGTAATCACATTGGATACAATCCCATACAAGTAGACGTTGAGCACCGTTTGATTGTCAACACCAACTTTGTCTGAAATCACCATATTCTCCATCCCTCGGGGTGTCATTTGGCCCTGTGTTTTTTCTCCATCCGTTTGTCGTCTCTGTCTTGTCCGCGGTGATTCAAGTGGTAACCCAAACATGAAATCGGGACTCTGTTGTGTTCGTTTTGTGTCATTTTCCAGTGGTTTGAAATTGGTCTCAAGTCGGTTACATGGTGAGGATATTTGTATCACACTCGTGTTTCTGAGTTTCGTACAGTTGAAAGAATCAGACGTAGGCAGAATTGAATTCATGAGTGGAACTCTCATTGGTGAAAGAGACGTTTCGCTTTTCATTCGATTGAAATCAAGCATAGGAACCTTCTTCATCACTTTTCTTTCTCTGGGTTTATTCAACGACTTCGTATCAATACTTTTAACGGGTTCTTTCATTTTATCTTCTGTATAAATTGGGCTTTCTTTTGTTATTGAATTGTTTATCCCAAGTGTTGGTCTTTTTTGATGACTGACGAGTATCTTGTCGTTACCACTTATCAACTGTTTTTCTGTGTCGAGTGAGGTGGTTGACTGTTGTAACGTTTGACTTGAATTTTCATCCAAAAGTACTTGCGATTCACCTGAGGTGTGCAACGATAAAAACGGTACGGCATCGTCACGAACGTTTGGCGATTTTCTATCGGTATACATTCTCAAAGGCATCACATCCTTTCTCACCGACAACATCACCAATGGCTCATCACTGTTTAAATCCTTCAACTCCTTTGGTCGTTCCACAGTCGTTGCTCGTCTCATATTGAGTTTTGATATCGTGCGACTCTTACGATCACCTCCAATGAGGGGTTGCTCTTTGTCCGTTGGCGTCTTCGTTGACATTTGTTTGATTGACTCGATATTCAAAACAGCTCCCACGCTCTGTCTCTGTTCTTTCTTTTGTGTCGATTCGAGTATGACCTCAACTGCCGGCTTTTCAGGCTTTTTCTCCATTGGTGAAACTGTGTCTTTGGTTGTGTTGTGGCGTCTCTTCCTTTTTGGACCACTTTCAAACGAATCCGCTTTTGTTGCAATCGATGCACTTCTATTTCTGTTTAACAAAATTGCACATCCGGTATTACACGTATTTAAAGATCGAATTGTCAGCACCTCTCTGTTCATCACATCCAATGACATCACCAATTTCGAACGCAAGAAGTCGTACACTCCAAATGTTCCTTTGGGGCGATGGTCATTGCCTTGGAACAATTGCTGACCGATGTGGAAAAGATGGAGAAGCTTCACAACGGTTGCAGGTGGCGATATTTTGATGTATTGCTGTTTTTGTTCGTAGGAGACTTCATTCAGAATGAAAAAGAAGCACAAAAATATGGCACGAAGCCCAAAGATTTGTGTTTTTTGGAATTCATCAGCCTTTTCAGTTCCAATTAACACTTCGTTTGCCCATTTTTTCACAGAGTCAAATTCATCGACCAAGATTACAATAATCGAAAAGAATGCTTCCGCTGATTTCGACCTTGAAATTTGATAATCTCTTCCAACATCAAGTTTCTGGATCAGTTCCAACAACACCAATGATGCCATCACTCTGATATCACCCTTATGGAAAAGCACTAAATGCAACGTTTGATACACCAAAAACGTTGCTAGAAATCGTTGCTGAAAACAAACATCGGAAATGTTGGTGTTCGTATCGCTCATCCCAAGAGTGCTCAATTCAACAACAAGGGGGTAGTCTTTCAGTCCACTCAAAAAATCCAACCGCATCAGTTCAAATGTGATCGATAAACTTGGATCAACTCGCTGGTCCATTTTAACAGAATTGTTGACACACAACGTTTGATAATACCCGTCCATTGCAGTACGTACAAATTGTATATCCATGACACTGTACAAATCACGAATGAACTCAACGATCGACAAATTCACTTCAAAAACACCTTTCAAGTTTCTCTTAGCCACATGGACATCGAGTCGAAATGCTATAAGACTGAGGAGTGTTAACAGGCGTTTTTCAATAAGTTTCTCGTTTTTGAGTGTGTAGTTGGGTATTGTCAACACCGTCTTCACAAACGCCTGTAAATAGAAAAAGGACAATTTAAATTTGGGACACTCATCATTGGAAAAATCTTCAAATATAGAGAGCAACCCATTCAATATTTCCTCGGCTAAAACAGACGCATCAATTTTCAACTCTTTTGGATTGAAATGTGTGTTCATATAATCAACGAGTATTTGAGGACGAACTTCGACTGCACTTAAAAACTTCTCCAAAAATGGTTGATACAAATTGATTGGAATGAGAGTCGCCATTTCAAACATTCTGTCCAATATGACTGCTGCATATGGTGTGACAATGATATTGTCCATCTCGCTAAACAGTTTTATTCCATTCTGAATGACCATTTTATCACTTGAGTTGAGCACTGAATGGATGATTCGCAGTCGTGGATACATCAGACCCATTGAGGACAATCGCACATTCAAAACCCTCTTCGATGGCGCCTTTCCCTCAAAACTTTCAAGAAAAAATTTTTCGCCTGAGCCTTTATAGACATTGATTTTCTGAACACATTCAGAGTCAACCGTCTCGCAGTTTTTGCCAAACAATTTGATGAAACTGACACTCTCATTGGGGTCCTTCATTTTGATCATTAACACCAAATTTGGCGCAGGAGGGGTTGGCAGTTCGATCCGAATTTCACGATTAAATGGAACAATTTTCCCAACACTTTTCGCGTTTAACGTCACTCGCTTCTCTGGACTTAACGAGTAATTGGGGAATATCAATGCTTCAATTGGTTCCGAAAACACGGCGTTCACCAATGATATTTCCATTGTGACGTTGAGCTTCCTCTCTCTGTTCATTACGATTTCATTGATTGTCAAATACAGTACCGTCTTCAAGTCTCTTGTGGCAACGTAATCAACACCGCCATCAAATACAAGGCTCTTCATTTCAAACACTTTTTGGGTACTCACACTTTGTGTTGAATCAATCGGTTTGAGTTGCCACGTCATTGTCGTCCCCTTCTCTTCGACTTGAATCTTCGATTTTTGAGCTTTTGTTGGTGTTTTCACGACAACCCGTTCTGTGCGTGGTGTCTCGATGTACAATCTTCTCGTTTCGGCAGCGGTGACGATTTCAATGTCTTTCACCTTTTCCGCCGGTTCAAAAGAGACCGACCACCTCCCCGCAATTAAACTTGCCGATTCGTTTCTCAACTCTTTAAACAACGAGTTTTCGTCGACTAATATAACCGAAGTAAACCCCAAATTCTCAAAATGGACTTGTTCTTTCAAATGAGGTATTTTCACTTTACCAAACCCGACTTGTTGCAACGAGTTGATTGAGAATTTCTCGGCGTCTTTTGTATGACATTTTGATATCGCCTCGATTTGTTTTTTTCTCTTCTTTGCATCGTTCACATCATAACCCTCGTTGTACATTGTAACCATCATGGAGTTTCCGTCGTCTCTCCGAAACACTCTGACCAACAAATAGAAATCGTCGGTTGCCATTTCGTGAACCTCCGCCAGAAATTTTGTCTTCTTCAGTTCTCCATTACAGATTGAGGTGTACACATTTTCGGTGACTTTTTCGAGCTTTTTTGTGTTGTAAATCGCCAAAGACACCAACAAATTTTCATTGAATCCGATGTCAAAGTCGATTTTGTTTAACTCGATGAGTATTTTAGTTTTTGTGTTTGGGAGTGGTGGATTGAAATACGTTGTTGTGATATCCGAGAGGATCGCGTTGGGGTTAAAACACTCAAACATGTTAATCAGAGTTGGTTCGAACGAGAGTGGTTGGACTTGGACTGACAGTCGTTGAATTCGTTGTTGGAAGTCGTTGCAGACATCTTCGAATCTTTGTGAGTTAAACAATTCCTTTGGAGTTATTTTGTCGAACGATTTCGTTGGACGTGTCGCTCTGAGTTCAGAAGAGTACACCGACTTGATGACGCAGTTCTGGAAGTTTGTGAAGCCGACGACATTCGTTGGAAATTGGTGTTCGTCGAGTTTGAATTGTGTGATCGCGTGAATTTCTTTGGGGTCGATTGTGGTGTGTACAGTCGCGTATTTGATCAACTCGTTTTTTTTGGTCTCAAGAAGTGTTTTGAAGGCGCCAAAGTCTTTCATTTTAAGGCGTGTCGAGTCTTCACCTAAAGAGCGTTCTTGAACTAAACTTTTGACTGCAGACTCTTGGACGTCTATGTTATACAAATCAAAGATCAAGCGCTTGATTTGTAGGACGTCTAGCGATCCACACCGTTCCGAATCGTATTTCTGACTATTAGTATTTTCACTCAAATATAGTTTCTCATTTTCTGATTATTTATTAATTAAAAAATATAATTAATAATTAACAATACTTCACGCGGTAATCAAAATATGACAAGATGACGGAAAGAGAAAAAAGATAAAGCGCGTTTTTTTTAAATATGTCGTAATTATAATAACAAACACTAAACTCTTTCAGCGTACGGCTGTTCAACTCTTCGACCACATTTTTCTTGTTACGGGCCCGCCCGGCCGTCTGTTGGTTTGTGGCGTTTTTCATTAATTAGAATAAAATGTAATATTAGGAGTTTCTCCAAAAAAACTTCGTTTTTTCGTTTTTTCCTTTCCCGACTTTTGTAACATAAAGTCATGAACTTTATTCCAGCCAACTCTTTCTATCTCCTTTTTATCAACCCTAAAACTACGGGAAAGTTCAAACCGTCTTTTTTGTTCCTTCATTTTGACTTTTCTGTTGTGTTTTTACTTTTTGGAAATGAATGCATTACATTTTTAATTGTCTCGTTTTCCTTCTTTTTTCAATATTTTTTATCGGATATAATAAATAATAATAGATTTCTAAACAGATTGAAACATTTATATCTTTTTCGATTGGTAAAAAAATACTTATTAGAGCACAAAAAAACAATTTAATGTCATTTTCATTGATTGTTGAATGTGGCTCTAATATAAATACGAATTCAACTTTTTTCAACGTAGTATTTTTTACAACTGATTAACCTATAAAAATAAAACTAATGTAAACTAGATTGAAATTATAAATTAATGTTGAATTAATTATTCTTGAAATTGAAAAACTTAATTGTTATTAAAATGAACGACAAAAAAAACAATTAACAGACTCAAATATTTTTAAATTATAAAAAAATAATAAAGAATTAAATCTGTATGGTATTATTTATTTTCCAAAACAAAAATTATTAACAGAATTATATTTATAATTTAAGTAATTGGATCTATTTAAATAATTTAGATTATTATTCTTATATAATACCAATTATAACAAAATGATACTAACAATTATAATTTATTAAACTACTTTATAAAACTAAACAAAAGATGTGTTAAAAATATCATTGATGACTCACTCAGCCTTTACAAAGAAAGAAGGTCTTGACAAAGGTGTTGGTGTTTTAATTAAGTCGAACATTGGTGAACCCAAAGTACTCAAATTGAGTTTTAACTTTTGAGTATCCAAAAACCTCGGTGAAGACGTTGAGAACTTGTCTTCTTCTGTTTTTGAATCGACTGAAGTGACTCTTTTATGTGAAGGTAAATCGAGTGACTCTGTTGATAAAGAAATTTCTTTAGAAACAGGGGAGATCCTTCCATTCTTTATATTAATGTTTTCGGGTTTTGACATAGTCTTATCTCGTGATCTAAACAACGTCTTCTTTTGTTTTACATCTTTTCTTTTTTCGTTCAATTTATCTTTAAGTCGCTCTTTATCTTTCTCTTCTTTCCACCCTACGACAGGATTGTTCTCAACTACCGTCAGTCCTTCAAAATTATAATTTGGAATAGTTAATTTGATGGTTTCGAAAGTCTTTTCATCAATCCCATTGATCATTGCAGCCAAACATGACTTTGCCAAATTCGTTTTTGTCAATGCGGCAAATGGGTCCAAATTTTCGTTGACAAGCATACAAGCGGAGAATACCATTGCAAGGTTGTCGACCCCCATTTTCGTTTCGTTAGAAAATTTTGAAAAGTCTTTGAGAAAGTGAACGATAAAGAGAACAAGGTTCTTATAGTTTTCCGGTAGTACATTTAACTTTTCCATTATAGTATCTTTGTTGTTTTCAAAAGCGGTGATTGTATCTTCGTCAACAAAATTATCATAAAATTGAGTTGGGATTGCCGGAGTGGGCAATTCCCGAAGAAACAGTTTAAAAAGGCCTGCTATAGTATTACAACTACATTCCTTGTATATTTTGAATTTTGATGTATTGAAGAGATCTTTATAACAATCTATATCTTCTTGAGTTCCTGGAACTCGAAATATCCCTTCGACTGTTTGTGCGTTCAGTGTATATAATGTATCCCTAAGAAGGACCAAAAGGAGAGGCACTGACAAGTCTGGATAGACCATCCGTTGCTCAGACATTAAAGTGTCAAGGTCGACTGAAAACAAATGCGTGCCTGGGCAAGCTAGAGATGACATCTCAAAATGCAAATTCAGTCTTTCAGAACCTTTTCTAGTGGCTTCTTGAAATGGTGTTTGATTCATTTTTATATCTGGTAGTCAATTTCGTTTTGTGTGGTTCGTTTTAATTTTTTTAAAACGTGGGTACCATTTAAAAACAAACTTTATTTTTTAATATAAAATACATGTTTTTATTGATAAATAAAAATTAAGTTGTTGGTTGATCGTTTTTTGCCGTTCGGTATAGAATGGAGATTTTTTATTTTTTTGTTTTTTTTATTACAGAAGTTAAAACTCCATAATAAAAATATTTATTTTTTATAGCTTTTATACTATACTATATGGTTATTTTTTTTAACTAAAAAAAATAGTCAATTCCCTTTTTTTAAAACATGGTTTTGTTACCACAAAACTGCATTATTGTTGGATTAAAACTATAAATAATAACAAATATTCTTATAAATAAGCCAAAACCCGTAATAAAACACAAAAAATACAATAAAAAAAAGTCGATTGATATAAAACGGAACACGAATCACAATATCATTGCTTTCATTTCGTGGTATTCAAGTGTTATTAACAACAATTTCAAAAATGTTATATATAACATGATTCAACTATTTGGAAGTTTTTGAGACAGATGATATAAAGATGGTAAAAAAGAAGGAGAGAACTCGAAGTCTCAAATTGGGAGATGTCAGAACACACCCTCCCCACGCAAACGTCGGGAGCTTTTCGGTTTTGGAATCGAAAGGACAGAGACTCCAAAGATATTCCAGACACAAAAAAAGGTGGTCTGTCAAAGGACTTTTTGTGGACTTTTGTGCTCAACAATGAGAACGAGTTTGATGAGGCAAAGTGCGTTCAACAACTCAACGAAGTTCGAAAATTGTGGGCAATAATACACAACACAAAAACAGTTGACAAAACAAAGGGACACCAACACACTCCATCAGTTGCCAAAGATCTTGATAAGATGGTTTTGGAGAGTTACAACTTTATGAATGTCGAAAGGAAGTCGTGGGAGGATTCTATTGTCAAGATGCAAACGACTGTCAACGCGCTGAATGAAGAGAACGACAATTTAAAGGAGCAAATCCGCCAACTAAAAAACGAGAAAAAGGAACTCAAATTTTCGGAAGAGGTCAAAACTCAAATTGAGAGTATTGTACAATTCAACAAAGTCATTCAAACAAAACTCGACCAGATTTCTCTCGCACAAGAAAATAATTTGGTGGTGTCGAACTCAACGAACCAGAAAGTAAGTCATTTGGTCCAACTTTTCGGACATCCACTTGAAAATAACAGCCAAACACACAGTTTTGCGAATATCACAAATAACAAAAGTGAAGAAGTTCCATCGAAAGAAAGTAGCGAAGAGATAGTCAGAGCTGAAGATGTTCAAAACGTTGCTCTGTACGTGAGAGATATGTTGAATGAGAGACCAAAAACACCCCTTTTGGGAGAGACGCCCGATAGAAACCAAGGCCACGAGTTCACTAAATACTTAATAAGCTCCAACACTGTTTCCGATTTTTCTCAAACACTTCAGAACACCAATGAAAATAAAACAATCGAAGAACCAACCACAGAAAAAACAGAAATAGCCCAACCTGACCAAAAAGTGACACCTGATAATCACACAATCGAACAAGTCAAGGAAGTTGAAAATATTTCTGAAGTTTCAGAAAACGGTAATGTCAGCGCCACTGTTTCAATCCCAAGTGAAGTGAATGAAGAACAAAAGAAAGATATTGCCAAAAAGAAAACTCCGCAAACGGAAGAAGACATTAGGAGTGTTGAAAGTTCTCAAACTCCAACAACTCCAACTAACACCGAAATTCCAAGCGAGCAAAGTTCTGTAGATGAAAAACCTACAACAGCACAAGCTGAGGGAACGCCTCCAGAATCCCAATCGAAACTTGAAGACCAAAATACGGACATTTCTAGTTTACAAACTATCAAACCGTCATATGCAATACCTCAATTGAATATGACTCCTTCAATTCCCGTTGAGAACGTCGAACCGAAAATTGAAGGGAAGATTTTGAAAAAAGACAAAACGGGGAAGTTGGAAAAACTTGTTGTTCCTTCGTCCCTTGGAAAAGTGGAACGCCTCCCTCGTTCATTCTCTTCAAATGAGAGAATATCACCCCGTAGCAATGTTCCAGCCGAACAAAGTAAAGAACCAGTCAACCGAGCAACACTGACGCCTTATAGCCAGAGAAAGTCATCTCATATGACAACGCGATCAGTGTCTGACTTGTCTTTCATGGACGTGAAGGAGGTCAAGTTGGAGGATTTAACTGCTCCGCTCCGAATGGTAAAAATGCCGCACGGGAGACCAAATAATGTTGGTGGAACTGATTTGTTCGTTCTCCCGCCGCTCAAGAAAAAGCGCAGCGTTCTGGTTTCATCAGATCTTCTTGAGATTGATGTGGAGAAGAATTTGAGAGAAAAACATAGTAAATCACATCTACAGACGTCTGAAAAGATCGATAAAAAGGAAAATGAGAGGGTGAGTGATGATGAATTGAGAGCGAGATTGGACGTGATTGAGAAACGGGAAGCAGAAGTGGCACAAAAAGAAAAGGAAGTGCTCGTAGTCCAAATAGAGACAGAAAACAGGGAAGAAGAGATCCAGGCCTGGGAAGAAGACGTCCAAAGGAGAGAGAAAGAGGTCAAAGAGAGAGAAGGCAATTTGAGGCAAAAAGAGGCTGAGATTGAGAAAAGAGAAAATGACGTGAAGAGTTCGTGGAATGAATTGAAGAGAAACGAAGAAAATGAAAGAAAGATGAGTGGGTTAGATATGCCTCGACCGAGAAGGAGCGAACCACCAAAGACTCAGAGGGACGAAAAAATAGATCCAAAAGAAGTTGAAGAACTCAAGAAAGAGAAGAAGGAGTTAGAGAAAACGCTTAAGGACAAACAGCTCAGGATGTGGACGTTGGAGGAACAGAACAAAAGGGTGACGTTCATTGTAAAGATGATGGACTTGGCAGATCCCAGTGACGATGACATCAAAAACTTTGTTGAGACAATAAGGGAAATTGTGAATCGCAAGAAACAAAAAATGCGGTTTGTGTTGACACAGAAGATT